CCGTCTCGCACTCGTGGGGCGTCCCTCACAGGTGCGAGAGAGACAGAGCGGGCAGGCCTGGCCAGGGCCTGGCCTGGGCCTGGCAGGCGGCGGGACGCTTTTCCCGCCAGAGAAACTGCTTCCTCCACTCCACTGCAAGCTCCACTGTCGCCCGGAGGAAACGGCATCTGGCTGGAATCCCGGTCTGGATTAAAGTCGGCGTCTTCTTTGCGGGGCTGCCTGCAGCTTCCAGGCACCGCAAACGTAATCTCGCTTTTCAAAACAAAACGGCACGCCCCGCCCCGCCCCGCCCCGCCCCGCCCCGCCGCGTCCTTGCGCCGAGAGCTTACCCACGTGTGCCGAGCTGGCCGAGCCGGCCGAGCCGCCAGTGCGCACACGCCCAGCTTACCTTGCGGCCGCCCACGCGGGCCTTAACCAGACGACCGATTCCGAAGGATCGCTCCGTCTCTCTCGCACTCCTGGGGCGGCCCGTAGGGGTGCGAGAGAGACGGAGCGACGAATAAGCGACCCTCGGAATCAGTCCGCTGTACGTCATACGCGGCGGGCTGGAGCGCTGGAACAATGCTGCCCGCTCTGCCCGCTCTGCCTGCGCGGCTCGGCGCCGACCTTTTGGCGTCCATATTCGGCGGGAAGTGGAGTCGCAGTGATGTGGCAAGGCCGTCCGTCGCCAGGCCACGCCAGGCCGGCCCATTCAACGGGGCGCTCTCTCTCTCTCTCTCTCGCACTCATGGGGCGTCCCGTCGGGGCGCGAGGGAGACAGTGACGCAGCACCGTTCGGTTCGGAGCAAGCAGGCCGGGTCGGGTCGGGTCGGCCAGACGCAGCCACGCACAGGGCGGGGCGCGAGCAAAGCGCCGTGCGGGTAGGCAGCCGGCCTGCAGCGCCGCCCGGCGGCCCGGCCTGCCTCCACGGCGGCGTCTCTGCCACCACAATGCCACGGCCCAGCGCGCCGCCCGCTCGTTTCCGTCTCTTGTCGATCCTCTTTTTGCCGCTCGGCCGAGATTGGATTCGAGGCGCTTTGTTTTTCCGAGGAAACGCGTGGCGGACTGCGCTGGCGGACCCCTCGGGCCTCCCTTCGGGCGCTGGGGTCGGCGTCGGTCGTCCGGGCCGTCTCCGTCTTCGTCTTCCGCTGCGTCGTGTTTTGTCTCGGTCTGCCAATCATTGTAAGAGGCTTCGAGTGACCACGAAGGTCAGTCTGAAGCCGGCGCGGCGGCGTGGCCCTAGGTGGCCCGATGGCCGTGGCGGGGGTCCCGTCGTCGGCGTGGTGCTGGCGGCGGCGGCGGCGGCGGCGGCCGGGGAGAGTTAGTTTGATCGATCGGCTGCGAATGGCTCGCAGTTCGCAGTCTCACAGTGGTGTGGAGAGCCGAGGACTGTTTTTATGGGGAATAGAGTGGCGCGAATGGAGGCTGCGTGGCGGGGGGTGTGGCGGGTGTGGCGCCGACTCGCGCCGGCCGCCGTGTGTCCGCCCAGCCCAGCCCGGTGCCGCCTGGTGGTGCGGACAAGGCCAGCCCGCCCCGCCCCGCCCCGCCCCGCCCCAGCGGCCTTAGTCGCATTTCCTATTTGGTCTCGTCCGGTGGAGGGGGCTGGGCGGCTGGACCCTGACACGGAGCGCGGCGGCGCGGCGAACAACACGTCGCCCGTTGCACACCTCACTGTGCGCTTTGCTTGGTCATTTAATTAAGAACGAGATGGATGTAACGGCGCTGTTTGGCTGCGGACAACCCTCCTCGAGGCGAGGCCGCACAGGGGCCAGAAGACCGACGCAGGCGGGCACAACTCTAGACGCGTTTTGAGCTCTAGAGTAGCTACAGGACTCCAACCAGACGTGTGACCCCACCAATGGATTGCCCGTGCGGAGAGCAATCCATTGGTGGGGTTACACGATCGATTCGAGCCCCATTTAGCGACTCTGGAGCTCAAAACGCGTCCGGGATTTTGACCACGGCCCACTGTGTGGCGACGCCCGGCGCGGCGGCGCGGCGGGGGCGGTGGCCGGGCCCTCCAGACATCCGGCGGGGCGTGGCGGAGCGTGGCGGACGTCGTGCCGCTTCCGGTGCGCATGGCGTCCCCGACGACGACGATGACGACGACGCCGAGGCGACGCCGCCGAGCGGGCGAGATCCACCGGCCCGCCGTCGACGTGCGTGCCGTGGCGGCAGGAACAGCTAGGCCCGTCACGAGCGGGACCGTCGAATACTTTTGTATTCAGGCGCCGTGTGTGTGTGCGTGCGCGCGTTATGTAGGAAGAAGTGTGTCTGTATGTGTGTGTGTGTGTGTGTGTGTGTGTGTGTGTGTGTGCTTCGCGTGACTCACCCACTCGCGGCAGTCGCGGCAGTGGGAAGCGTAGAGTCGTTGGGCCCGCGGCCTGCCGGCCTGCCGAACCACGCGGACGCGGCTCCTCGCCGTTTCCCTCGGGGTCCCTCCGGTCGCCGCCGCGTGCCGCGTGTGGCGGTCACGGCCGTCTAGGTCTGCTGGCTCTGCCCGGCTCTGCCGCTGCAGACTGATTCCGAGAGTCGTTTTCGTCGCTCTTTCCCTCTCGCATCCGTACGCGCCGCCTCATAAGGGCGAGAGAGACAGAGCGACGAAGACGACTCTCGGAAGTCGTCTGCTGGCTGGCTCTTCGCGGGTAGACCGGACCCGAGAGACGCCACAGCGTGTCTGCGTCGCAGCGCTGCCTTGCCGGCAGCAGTGCAGCAGCAGTGCAGCAGCAGGACGCCCTGCCGGCCAGCGCTGCCCGCCTCGGCCTCTGCCCGCCTCGCGTCATACGGTGCAACCGGCGCGTAATATATGAAGCAAGGTGAACGGGTACACACACTCACACACTGGCGCTCGTCTTTGCCGCTCGGCTAGCGCTCACACACACACACACACGAACACTCACATGCACGGCACAACCTTTGTGTGATCTCATCCCGGTGCGCGGAGCTGCGCGGCGCTGCTGGGTGGTGCCCGCGATGTTTACTGCAAACCCTCCGCATCTGCATGCTATCTGAGCAGCCTGTGTGTGTGTGCGCGCGTGCGTGTGCGTGTCAGAGCTCGTGGAGTGTGAATGCGAATGTGAATGCGAATATTGCTTGCTTATGCTGATGCGGACTGAAATAATGGCCGCTGGGCGCAGCGCGCGGCTTGGCCCTCTAGGCCCTTGTGTTGCCGCCGCGGGCTCGTCGCTCTGTCTCTCTCGCACCGACACGACACACCCCACGGGTGCGAGGGAGACAGAGCGACGAAAACGACTCTCGGAATGAGTCTGCTGGCGTTGTCATCGCGCGGCTTGGCCGGGCTTGGCGGAAGCGGCGTCTCCGCGGGCCCTGGGACCACTCCACTGCTTGGGGGCGTGGGAGGCGCGTGGGAAGGCACTCGGCGGCGGCGTGTCGCGCAGTGTACACACCGCCACTGGCCTGCCGGTCTTTGAGCGGAATGCGTGAGGTCGACGCGCATCTTGATGCCGCGTCTGTGTTTGTTTATGCATGTCCGGCCGGCCGAGAAAGAACCGCGGCGGCTCAAGTGAAGGCAGGTTAGGGCGCGTTTCCTGTTTGGACGCGATCCGCCGCGAGCGAGCTGATGAAGGGCCTCATCTGCATACCGCATGCATGGCATGCATGGCATGCATCGCTCGAAATTGAGTTTGGCGCCGCGAATGCGCGCTCACGCTCTCGCTGCGAGTCATCTGCCATGCTCCGCCCCCTCCGGCCTCCGGCGCGGACGCCGAGCGTGAGGGAACGGCCCGGACACACGGCGCGGCGTGCCTGCCCGGCCGGCCGCGCCGCCCGGGGGTTCGATTCCCAGCAGCGCCGCGCCCAAGCCGGCTTTTCTTTTCGCTGCCGCGGCCCGCGCCCCGCGGCGTGCTGGCGGTGCTGGCACGGCGGCCCTCCCTGGGGACCTTGTCCTTGTTCCCACCTTTCTCTTCCCTGATGTCAGAGTGAGAGGGACAGGTGACCCGGGCGTGTGTGCGTGCGTGTTACGTGTTACGGCCCCGTCGATGGTGAGCGTTAACGACGCGCTGCCGCGCCTCCCAGCAGGCCGTGATCCAGGCGGCCCGGGCGAGCGGGCCGAGTGCACCGCTCCCTTGATGATGCATTGCCGACCCGCCGCCAGGTCAATCTGTACCAGTTGATTATTTTGACATAGACAGATTGATGCATGAACGGATGGACATGCAGACAGACAGACAGGCAGACAGACAGACGGCTGGCTGACCTGCCGCAGCCTTTATCATCCAATATCGGTGCCCTTGTTGCCTCACTAAATGGAGCGCGCCTGTTAGGTCAGGGCTGCCCCCGCCCCCGCCACAGTGCGGCGGGCCGGTGCCGCTGGGCCCGGCCAGGCCCCGGCGTCCCGGCTGGCCGGCCGTGCTGCGTACACTGTGCACTCTGGGCCCAAAGGCAGCCTAAGGCGGCCTACGGCGGCCGAAGGTCCCTAACCTGTATATGGTCATGCTCCACGGAGCCTTGCGGTCGCGCCCCGCCTCCCGCCCGTCCTGCCCACTGCAAGTCCTCGTGCACCGCGTCGGCGCGGACGCGGACGCCGTTCGGCTGGTCAGGGAGCGGCAGCGGCGCCAGCGGACACCGCTTTGCGGCGTGGGCGTGGCGTGGCGTGGCGCGGCGTGGCGGAGTGAGGGTCCCTACGCGTGATGCAGAGCAGCAGAGAAGGCCCGCTGCAGGGCTCGGGGCGCAAAACACTTGCACTCTCACCGGGCCGTCGCGTCCCGCTGCCTCCGCCGCCGCCCGTCCTCGTAGTGCACTCTTCCTCAACTATCTCTCCCCCGTGCGCAAGCATCTCCCTCGGGCGGCACGCGTATACCGGGCCGAAGCGCGCATCAGGCGCTGTAGTCTCTCTAAGGGTGTGTGTGTGTCTGTGTCTCTCTGTCTGTCTGTCTGTCTGTCTGTCTGTCTGTCTGTCTGTCTGTCTGTCTGTGTGGTCTATCTCTATCTATTGGTTTGTCTATCTGTGTCTGTGTCGCTGACGGAGTTCGGATGTCTAACGCTCGCTGTGTTGCTTGCAGGCATGGCGCCGCCACGGACGTCGAGGAGTCCCTGCAGGACGTCCGCGCTCCTGTTTGCACTGGTGAGTACCCCACAGCACATCGTGCCCTTCGTCTTTTTATTCCCCGTCCTCTTCGTCCTCCTCATCCTGCTCGGCGACGGCGGCATTGATGACGGTGTTTGTCACGCAGAGCAGGACGCTCTCATTATTTTCGCATTAAATGGCCGTCGGGTTGGCGCTGCGCTGCAGTGCGCTGCAGTGTGGTGGACGGCGCTGGACGCGGGTCGTGACGGGGGCTGTCCGTCGCGGCCCGGCCGCCTCGGCGTCGGGGAGGGCGGCTGGATGGTGGACGGACGGGGAGCCAGGAGGGGGGAAGAAGCCGCACGGAGCCGGCCCGGCTCGCTGTCACAGGTGGACGCTCTGCTGCTCTGCTGCCCGCCGAGGCGGCCGAGGCCGAGGCCCTCCGCGCCGACGTGGAGTTCACTCGCCTCTCGGGCACCGGGGCGGGGCGGGCGGCGATGTGGAGCAGTAGTGGACTGACCTCCGTGACGAATCGACGGATCGGCACCGCAATGATGATCTCTTCGTGCCGATGAGCTTTCTGAAAACTTTACAATCTAGTACTGTGTATTTACGCCTTACGAAGTAAAGGAGCTTCAACGGAGTATTTTGAGCGTCGCGAGATTCCATTTTCTAGGAATTTTCTGAATTTATTGCGCTTAATTTTGCAGTATTTTTTCCGTAATGTGCCTTCGCTTGATGTTAAATTATGTCCTATTTTAAAAGATTTGTACCTGATCGAGATTTGGCGTGAATATTTGAACGCCAGATTGGGCAAATGCCCCCCCCCCTCCCCGGCAACACCAGTCCAACCAGAGCCACGCCGCTGGAAGGAGCCGCCTTTCTCCCTTCAGCGCCTGCACTGTATACTTGCACTGCACCCCCGGCCTGCCCGGCCTGCCCGGCCTGCAGCGCGCGGACCGGGCGGCACAGGCGGGGGCTGGCAGCGAGTGGCATTTGGCTGCAGTCATCGCCCCGCCTGCCTTGCCACGCAGTGCCTTGCAGTGCACCGAGTGCACGCAGCCTGCGCAGCCCCGCGTAATGTAATGGCGCGTAAGGCCCGCAGACTGAGTCGTTTTCGTCGCTCTGTCGCCCTCGCACCTACACGGGCCGCCCCATGAGTGCGAGAGAGGCAGGGTGACGAAGACGACTCTCGGAATCAGTCTGCAGGCTGCCGGCTCGGTCCGTATGCCGGCGTGCCGCGGCGCGTCGTGCAGCGGGCCTTTTACGCTCTGAAAAGCAGTCAGTGGTTAGCGCGTTGAACGCGCATCGCGTTTTTGCCCGCCGTTAGGATACCGGGCTGGTGTGTTCATTCATATGCAGTGGGGGAGGTGCGTGTCTTTTGGAAAAAAAATGATAAGGTTTTGCTACTCCCGTCGCTGCAGTGATTCTCTTTTCTTTTCAAGTTTTCTTCTGCCTTCTTTGGGCGTTTTGCTTTTGCAGTGTGACTGGCGGCTTGTAAATAGAAAACTGCTCGGACAAGTCGCCTTTCCGCGGCGTGCTGCTCAAATTATACATGCGCAACGGGACTCGGCATCGGTGCGTGGCGAGGCGAAGCGAGGCGAGGCGAAGGGCTGTCGATGCGACTGGTGCACTGCCCGGCATGCCCCTCGGCTCGCTCTGTCTCTCTCGCACTCATAGGGCGTCCCCCATGCCCCCGTGCCGACGGCACGCCCCACGAGTGCGAGAGAGACAGAGCGACGCGGCGGTGCGGCGATTTATCACACGGGAATTTGGGTCTGGCGCGGTAAGGCGGCTCGCGATCCCTCGGTCATTCCCTCGTTGCATGCCGGCCTCGTTGGGGCGGATGACTTGCAGCGCGCGGAATTTAAACCACCCGCACCATTGCCCCGCGCAGCGCCGCGCAGCGCCGCCAAGCCTGCTTATCTGTTGCGCGGCCCGCTGGGCTCCGCTGCTCCGGCAGCAGCGGGCATAATGTCGCCGCCGTAAGTGTGGTCATTACCAGTGCAGGGCACGGCAGGGCAGCGCAGGGCGCAGGGCCGGCCGCGCCCTTGGCGGTGTGGGCGCGGACTTTCACCCGCCCTCGCCGTGGCGTGCCGTGCCCTGGAATAATAGCCGGCTGGCTGGCCGCGCCGCACTCGATTGGCCTGGAGATTTGGGCAGCGAGAGACAGGTATGGCGCTTTGTGGCGGCGATAGGCGATCCCTTGCGGCCGGCCGGCCGGCCAGGCAGCCGGACACGTCCCGCGGCGGCTATCCGATACACTTTTGGCGAGGCTCGCGGCGGCCGCACAGTGGGCCGGGCCGTTACACGGTGGCGGGGCGGGGCGGGGCGGGCCGCAGGTTACTCAAGCGCGCGGCCGCCACCGCCGCCACGCGGCCGGCCGACACGCCCCGTATGATTCATATTATTCAATATCGCTGGCCGCGCCGCCAGGCCGCCAGCGCCCCGCGCTGGGCTGCCGTTGATGAAAGTGGTGGACTCGGACTTTCTCCTCCCCGACGTCCAAGCCCCGACCCTCTGCTGGACCCCTGCGGCCCCGCGGCCCCGCGGCCACAGTGCGGGACGCGCGGGGCTGACTGACCGGAGGGCCCCGGGCGGCGCGACGGCGCGGCGTGCAGGCCGATTCAGCGCGCCGGCGCTCCGTCTCTCTCGCACCCCTTCGGCGCGGCCCGCGAGTGCGAGAGAGACGGGGCGCTCGGAGGCGGCCGCGCCGCGTGTGCCGCGGCCCATTCACGAAATGAAGCGCGGCGTGGCGCGGTGTCTCGCCCGCAACAACGAGGGCCCCGTTTCGGACTTCGGCTGTCCGGCGCTTTCTTCCCGAGGCGTGCTTGGCGCGGTGCGGTGCGCGTGAGCGTGCTTGGCGGCGCGTGACGCGCGATGCCGCCCCGGGGTCGCCGTCGACGTTTCGATAAACGGCCACGCAGCAGACTGATTCCGAGAGTCGTTTTCGTCGCTCTGCCCCTCTCGCCCTCATGGGGCGTCTCGTATGGACTGGACTGCCACACCGTTAGCCTCGGTCAGGCCAGACTTGTAGGCGGAATGTCGCCTAGTGCGCTGCCCGACGACCATGACGACGAGGACCTCGACGACGCGGCGTGCCCGGCCGGAGAGTGGCGGCAGGCGAGGCGAATTTAAACGGGTGGCGCCTGCCTGGCATGCAGATGGGCCGGCAGGCCGACAGGGTTACGTGGCGCGGTCTGACGTGCAGCCGAAATTGGAGGACAAGCGGCGACGGCGGCGACGCGGTGCGGCCCTGGCGGAATCAGCATGCGGTGCTGTGATTTTGGGCGAAGGAGAAAGTGACGCCGTGGCCCCGCCCCGCGACGAGCACACGCACATCGCGCTATCGGCCGCTCCACTGTTTTAATCGTCTTGTCCTCCTCGGCGAGCGAAATACATAACGAGGCGCTGTCTGCGCGTGCTGGCGTGCGCCTGCCTCCGAGGGGTCGGCGGCGGTGCCCCGTCGCCCCGTCGGCACGACCCGGCCGTAACCTCACGCGTCGACCCCCTTCCCCTTCCCCTGCCTCCGCGGGGCCGGGGCAGGCCGCGCCATTGTAACAGGGCTACAGGTGTGCCCGATGTTGCGCAATGGGATGGTCCCGAACTCATTCCTGCCACGGCACTGCCACGGCACGTCGCGGCGCCGAACCCGGCAACATCCGTTCGCCTGACCGTCCGTCCGTCCGGCCGTCCGCCGAGCAGTAACAATAACAACAACAGTAGCGCCGCGGTGGGTGTCCCCAAGCACACACACACAGTACACTGCACGCTGCACGGCCACGCCCACCTCCACCCCGGCCTCGCGCGCGACAAAGAAAATGCGAAGTGAAACTCGCCTATGTTTTGTACTGCTGCGTCGCTCGCCGCCGCCGTCGTTGCGCCATCGCGACGGGACAAAAGCCAATCATCGGCCTCGGCGCGGCTTTGATTTACTCCAGATTCTCCTCACGCGCACACGCACACACGCACACAGACACACACACAAACGGGGACAGAGAACCGAGCGCCTGCGACACGGAGGTTAGGCAGACCCGCCGCACCGCCGTGGCCGACGGATGCCTACCTCGCAGGCGCCCTGTGTGTACTGTACCAAACCGCCGCCACAGCCTGCTGCCTGCACTGCATTTCGATCGGCTCGCATGCCTCCCCTCCCTCCCCTCCCTCCCCTCCCTCCCGCCGCTGCGTTGCCCAAGAGGCACAATGCACACCGACACGGCGGCGGCCGAGAAGGCGGCCCGGCGGGCGGAACAACAATAATTCGTTACCGTATTGTTCCATTCGGAAACTAATTGAAAGGGGCGCGTCGGTCATTCAGCGCGCGTGCGTGGCGCGTCAGCGCGGCAGTAACGCCGCCGCGGCGCGCAGTCGCGCAATCGAAGCGGCCGCGCCGTTGCCGCCGCTTGCCGTCCTTCCCGCGTCCTCGCAGCGCGACTTCGAGTCGTGCCGCGCGGCCGGCAGACCGATTCCGAGAGTCGTCGCCATCGCTCCGTCTCTCTCGCACTCATGGGGCGTTCCGAATAGGTGCGAGAGAGACGGAGCGACGAAAACGACTCTCGGAATCAGTCTGCAGGGTGTAGGAGCGCTGACCGAACCCGATATAAACGTGTCCGTCGCAAGATTGTTGTTGTTGTTGTTGTTGTTGTTTCCGCGTGGGAAAGAGCGAGCTGACGGCGAGCTGACTGGAGCTGACGGACAGATGGACAGGCGAGATGCTCGCGCATGAGGCCGTGCCGGGCGGTGCCGCGGCGAGGATTCGTTTCATTCGTTGCAGCCGCTCGGCGCGGGGCTCGGCGTGAGCGAGGAGCGAGACTGACTGCGCCCGACGCGGCCAGCCGTCAGTGTCAGTGTCGGCGGGGGAACGCTCAGTCATCGGGGACCCCCCTGGCGGCAGGGGCGCCGCGGTGCACTGGGGGCTTGCCGGGTCGGGGCAGCAGCCTGATTCCGAGAGTCCTTGCTCTGTCTCTCCCGCACTCGCGGGGCGTCCCGCCTAGGTGCGAGAGAGGCAGAGCGACGAAAACGACTCTCGGTATCAGTCTGTGCTGTGGTGCACTGGGCTT